AGACCAGTAGAATTCATGATATCTTCGTGACAAAGCGGATTATTGGCTAGGCGTGCTAGGTGATTTCACCAAGAAACATAGGTGCTTAAAAGTTGAGATAGAAGTCTCCAAGAAAGGCCATACTCAAAGTTCTACTGCAGTTGTTTCAATTCTAACAGAATATAGTCTCTTTTCTGACTCCTTTTTGCACGAAGGCTTTGCGGAATCGTGTCTTTGACTACTTTAGCGCAAGTACCAGCCAAACAGGCAAAGAATTGGCGACTGAGACTTTTTTTAGATAAATTGGCGACTGAGACTTGAGGGGGGCAGTAGCAGTACTCTCCCCGAGCGGTCCCAGGAAACGCAATTATTGCTTCTTCTCCCTGCCGGGCAAAAGGCGGCTTGACTACTCGTCTACTCTGAGGTCGTCGTTCGGAGTAGGCGGCACGGCTGATCATAGACTCTGCCGGCCAAGTCAATGGAGTAGTTGAAACTTTTTTTTTATATCTAGTAGGTGGAACTTGGAAGGTGGAACACATCATTCGTGTAGTTGGGTGTTGGATGTCACCGAACAGACGAGTGCTGGCCTCTCTATCGGGCCTTTCCATTCATTGATCGAGTCACGATTTGTAGAGTGTCCATTCTAGGATGTCCAAGTCAAGATAAACTTGATTTAAATTTAAAGCTTGGAGCCACGAGGCATGGCGTCATGGCTCAGCGTCACAGTTCTTGACGCTAAGCCTCGATGCCGGTCGTGTATTATAGCGCCAAGCTCCGGTTACATCAACGTCATGTCATCCAATCATGCTAGCCAGGCCTCGAGGCTCGGCGCCATGGTCTGTGGCACAGAGACGTGTTATCTCAACGCCAAGAGCCATGACGTCGACCCTAGGTCCAAATTTACAAATAGGTCTTCTAGAGTGTAAATGTGAATGCACATTTACACCCCTGGGCAACTTATTTTTGTCTTTAGACCCTAGGGGGCGGCGTCATGAATCGTGGTGTTGATGTAACACGTCTCGACATCACAGGACATGGCGCCAAGCTTCTAGCCCTAGATGATGTGCCGTGTGTACGTGGCAGTGACATGGCCAGAGCTCGGCGCCATGGATCTTGGTGCCAAGCTCTGGCCATAGAGGTCGCACGCCTGCTCGCCCGACCACTAGCACTTTCTTCTTCCTCCCTCCTCTCACCCAGCTAGTTCTCAGTCTCTCCAATTCATGGCGCCCTCTCTCTAATCTCCGATTTTGACCATTGAAACTTCGATTTTCTCCGTGGATCTGCTAGAGCAAGGTATCCCCCTCTCCTCCTTGATTTGTGCAATTTAATTTGTTGTATTTATTATGTATTTTAGGAAACCCTAGTTTGAATGTTGTGCTTCATTATATGATGATTACTGAAACCTGAGGTCAACCTTCTCGGGGCCATCGATCCACCAGAAGAAATGGCACCTCTCTCAACCCCACAATTGTTAATACCACCATGAATAGGCCATGATATTTGGATAAACACTCAAACCAAATTAATAAGATACGAGTACATGCGCTTACATGATAATCACAACATATGTAGTAAACCCACGCAGCAGTATCCTCATGACTAGATCGATCCACCCTGGCTCGATTACCACAGCCACACATAGGCACAGGTAGTTCAAGAGGGATCGGTGCATCCTTGCAAGACATGTCATCATAAAGCTCTCTTTGGGATGACACCTCCTTTTCCACTTGTTCCTATGCATCAAGCAGTCCATCTTTGCAAACAATTAAATTGAGCAGTCATACTCTAGACCAATTAAATTGCAACATATATTACTTACAATTCCAATAGAACAGTAGTGCACAATCCTAGGACTCAAACCTAATCTGCAAAACTAACCACTCATATCATCCATTCTTATCACAAAATATCGAATCCATATTATACATTTCATTCAAAAATCAAGAACTCTAATCAAACTAGGGTTTGCAAACTACACACTACGTAGACCAAATCAACGTGTACAAATTGAGCAGTGGAGGGACGATACCTTACTCTCGAAGATCTACGGATCAACTCCAAGTTGCAAAGGTCGAATGAAGAGTAGGACAGATTGGGGATAGAGAGAGGGAGAGAGGGGAGAGCACAAATGAGTGTTGGCTCGGGCACAAGGCTGATCGCGGGGACTAAGATTCGAACCTCAGCACCAGGATGCAATGCGCTGAGGTTGGCGCCAAAATCTATGGTGCCAAGGTCGGTGCCATGCATCCTATGCCGAGGTGTGTGTCCGTGTCAGCACCACCTTGGTGTCCCACGCCACCTCAACCCAAGTCTCGATGCCATGGACATGGCGCTAAGTTGTGTTACCTCAACACCAGAAGCCATGGCACCTACCCTTGGGGTCCAAAGACATAAATAAGTCATCCAGGAGGTGTAAATGTGAATATTTTTTTGAAAAAGGGCTAAAAACAAAAAAGTAGAACCATGTGGCACATACCAAGAGCGGCCAATTCAGGTGGGAAATGTTATTAGTTAGAGTGAATTTTGGATCCCAAATTTTGGAGTGTTTGGTTCGAGAACCTCAGGTATGAGCTTTCAATCTGGATCCCTGAAGACTATGGTACTAGTAAATAAATATTGAAGCATAAGGTGACCATGCTAGAGCTATTTGGACAGAACAATATTAAAATTGGCTCCGAGGTTTGCGATGTGGCATACGGAGTGATTGCAGTTCACCTAGAATGGAATTTGATTTTCCTTGATAGGGTAGACAAAACACTGATTGCATATGACATGAACTGTAGTAAAGTTCATGTCCTCCTTGCCCGGGTCATCCGCTATCTAGAACTACCTGGAAACTATTATGTATGAATGGTAGACCTCACTATTTTCCTTATGTTCCCTTGTTCATGGAGTCATTAGCAGAGCAGTAAAGATGCATATACTGTATTTTGTTGTTACGACATATCTTTGTTTAGGTTGGTAGTTGTTTTGATTCTATATATAGGCTAACTTGGGCTTGGTAACTAAAGAAATGGTGTGTTGAATATCATTAATTCTGCTGCTTTGTGGAGGTTGTGGAGTCTGAGTGCTTTTGAATAATTTTCTTACAATGGCTAAGGGAGGAAGAACAGGGGTTCCATGGTGCATTGGCTACTAATTTGAAGGAAACACTAATTACAGTTTACCTTGCCAGAAGGAGTGGCACATAGGAGGACCACAACTACCTTATTTTTGTTATGTAAGTCTGTAGAGATCAGTACCTTTATTATGCAACATCAGTTGACAAACTTGTCATATTAGCGTCCATTGTTATTGTAAAAAGTACTCTTGTTTGGGGACATAATGTATGGATGTAATGATTATATTTGTATGTTGTGTGTTCAGTAAGGTAGCTATTAAGGTCCAGCTGAATTAGTATTAACATTGTGAAATCCGGATGCAATTCAGTCACCATCGGATATATGCGCCATAGATTGTGTTGTCATCACCGCCGCCGCATACTAGTCACCATTGGTGAAGCAAATGTCCAACACCACCGCTATTCGTCTGATGCGGCATGGATCAATAGTGTATCACTACCGAATCGTTTAGTAACCCAACACCGACTAAAGGATCATCAAAGGCAGATCATACTGCAAGGTGACGGTGACCATGACCTTTGAACAGATGGTTCATACGCCCAAGCGATGGTGATGTTGACCTCGACACAGACGTGCCAGACATCAAAGCGATGGTGAACATGCATTGCACATAGTCAGATCGTCCTACAATGTGACGATGATCATGACCTTTACACAGGCGGTTCGGACACCCAAACGATAGTGTTGTTCACCTCGACATAGATGTATCGGATGTGAAAGCGACGATAAACCCGCACTGCACATAGTCAGGTCATGGTGCAAGGCGACGGTGATTATCATGTATTAGACGAGAAGAGCCCTGACAGATGGCGTAGAAGCACTACATCGCTCCCTGTTCCACGGTCGCAAGGCACTGTGGTTAATCCCCGACAGGGCCCCGCCCGAGCGTGATGCATCAGGATAAAGATCTCCCCACGCCCACGGAGCGCTGGGCTTTGGGCCCGCTCGGCAGCTGCTAAGGGCAGGAGGAGGATCCCTGGGTATCAGGGAAGCCTAGAGAAGGCTCACTCGGGGAAGGCTCCACAACAGCAAACAGCACCTGACGGTCAAGTGCCAGACTGCAGCAGTAACGTCAGGGAGTAGTTGCGATATTGTGAGCCCCCTCATACACGACAAAGGAGTACCCGACGTCACCAAGACGAACGAACCAAGAGCACCACGCCGAGAGGCCCTAGGTTAGAATCCATCTGCTTTGTACCCCATGCCATCCTTGGTATATAAGGGGAGGCATTGGCTCTTATAGAAGGGATCGATCAACTAGAGATAGGAAGATTGAATAGAACGCGATCGGCCAAGAACCTTAGGATAGCACCGCGTAGTCCCCTACCGATCTCTCTCTACTCCATCATTGTAAAAAACCACCGATTGGGCATTCCTAACACAAACAACACCATACTACTGGGGCTCAAAAGCCTGAACCTGGATAAAATCGCCTGTGTCACCGAGTGTTTTGAGTGTCCGAGCCACCGGAGATCCACACACTGACCTCTCACGAACAACACAATGCTTGCCGTGGTTCCCAACCCGTGAGATGTATAAGCCCACAACTGTTGCTTTGGTTTTTTTTCTTCTTATGATCAGTATGCTAGATATCTCACCAGTGTGTTAGTCATCATATATAATTTGACAAGGTCACCACTGCACATACTTGTCACGTATATCATGATATTGCTTTATTAAAATATACTGTAATTTGCCTAAACTTGAGATGGTTCCTGCAGCTAACTTTATTTCAAGACATGTTTACTAATTCCGATAACAAAACCAAAACATTGGCGAAATGGAAAAACCCAAAAGTAGTTGATTCTTAAAGCAAAAGACCATTCAAAAGAAAATCAGGCAAAGGCCACCCGCCACTATGCTCTACTCTACGTGAGCAGCAGAAACACTACAGTTCTTTTATTCAACAATATGTAGCGCTGCAAATGCTTCTTTGATTGTGATGACTTCAGCATAAACATCCTGCATTGCTGGTCGATCTTTTGGTGTCTCCATAGAGCATGAGAGACCGAGTTTCATAAGATGCACGATGCAGCTTTCTGCACCAGCTATTGCATTATTTCCATGGTCCAAATTGTAGTCCACGTCACCATACTCAGAAATTGGAACGATACACGGGTCTAGAACCTCACAAATTTTTTGAGGAAATGCATTGCTCACAAATCTGTGAAGGTTCAAACCGTTAGTAAACATCTCATCTGTTGGACGCTTTCCTGTAAGCATTTCCAACATAATAATTCCATAGCTGTAGACATCGCCTTCCGTTGAGGGTTTGCTCCCCAATCCATACTCTGTAATATGTTTGAATTGATCAAACAGTATATCTTAATATTTGAAAACATAAAATATATAAAACAAAAGTGGACGTGATATTTAAAATGCCCGATTTTTGAAGGAAATGTATTCACCTGGTGCAATGTATCCAATTGATCCTCTTGGTCCCAGTAAGCTTGTAGAACTATGATGGCATGAATGACTAAAACTTTGAAGAAATTTAGCTAACCCGAAGTCAGCAAGACGTGCACCCATGACATCATCAAGAAGGACATTGCTGGGCTTCAAATCACAATGGACTACAGGAGGCATGCAACAGTTGTGCAGATAATCCAAAGCAGAAGCTATGTCTGTTGCTATTGTTATTCTGGAGGCAAAACTTAATGGTATTTCCAACCCATACTTGCTCAAATTTGGATGGAGCCAGCTCTCTAGGCTACCATTAGGCATATATTCAAGGATAAGAGCTTTGAACTGATGTCCTGATGGGTCAAAGGTTGAGCATGCAGTAATCACCTTTACAAGATTACGATGACGAGTGTTCCTCAGTGCCTCACACTCAGCAAGGAAGCTCTTTGGTGTGCCAAGTTGATCAAGTTTAAAAACCTTAATAGCAACTGCATGTTCTTCAGACTCAAATCTACCTTTGTAAACTGATCCGGATATTCCTGAACCGACCAAGTTGTATGAGGAGAAATTATTTGTTGCTCTGACCAAATCAGCATATGAGTAAGTTTTCAATTCCTTGCAGGATGGATGAGCTGCTCGTTTGACTTTGCTCCTCTTCTTCAAAAGGATGGCTGCTAATAAGCATGATAATGGGAGCAAAGAAAGAGCACTCAATCCTAGTACCTTCAGAATTTTGGAACTGCGGTTTTGTCTGGAGGCCTTCGCATCACAAAGTGGCAATTGGAGCAGGGGACTGCTCCCACATAAGTTCTTGTTCCCTTGAATGTACACCACACTTTTGTTATGAAATATCCTACCAGTGGGTACTGGACCTTCAAGGTTGTTGAAGGACAAATTGAGGAGGTTCAAGTAGCTGAAGGACTCAAACAATTCAGGTATTTCTCCAGAAAGATTGTTTTGAGACAGATCTAGCTCGATGATGCCTCTCAATTCCGCAAATGATTCTGGGATTTTTCCTTCAAGAAGGTTCCCTTCCATGTGGAGGAACTCCAAGTGGACACACTGGCCTATGGTGGATGGAATTTGTCCAGACAACTGGTTATGGGAAATATTGAGCAGGCCGAGATTGATCAAGCCGCCAATCTCAAATGGTAATTGTCCAGAGAGTTGGTTGTGGGACAAATCCAAACCTTGAGTAAGGGAGGAAAGAGTAAAAAGCTGCTTTGGTATGCCACCATCAAGGCTGTTGCAAGAGAGGTTCAAAGTTTCTAAATTTTTGCAGTATCCTAAAGCTTCTGGGATTGGCCCACTAAAATCATTGTCCTGTAAAAGGAGGTCATTCAGTTGACTTAGATTACTGATTGAGGGCGGAATTTGTCCAGAAAGTTTGTTCTGTGATAGGCTTAATCCAGATAACCTTGAAAGATTCCCGATTGTGTCTGGGAGGCTTCCAGTAAACAGATTCCTTTCCATGTAGAGGCTCGTAAGGTTTGTGAGGCCTCCTATCTCTACTGGTATATTCCCAGATATGCTATTCCCGTACAGAATCAAAACCTCTAAGCTTTTTGGAAGAGCACCAATGGAACTTGGCAATGTTCCTTGAATTTTGTTTCTTGATAGAGATAATCTGACTAACCGTGTGCAATTGGCTAGTGACTAGTGAGGAAAGGAAAGACCAATCACCTGCTTCGAGCTGATTGGTGCCAAGATTCAGTTTCTCCAAGTTGGGTACTGAACCCAAAGAAGGAATAGTTCCAGAAAATGCATTGTACTCTAGATCTATCACCATAATGTTTGTTGCGTTGGCCAGTGAAGCTGGGATTTCGCCATGGAATTGGTTTCCTCCCAAAATCAAGGTTTGGATGTTTGGAAGAGTGTAGCCAATGCTATGTGGAATTTCCCCCACAAGGCCGTTCCTGCCTATGCCAAGGTATGTGAGCGCTGACATATTGTAAATAGAGGCTGGGACAGTTCCTGACAACAGATTGTAAGTCAGGTCCAGTAATTGAAGGTTTGGAATTTTACTGATACTCGCCGGGATGATACCTTCAAAACTGTTGTTTCCAAGAGAAAGCCAGATAAGGGAAGATAAATTCCCTAAAGAGGAAGGTATAGGTCCAATAAGATTGTTTGATTGCAAAATGAGATACTGCAAGGGAGAGTTGGGTTGCGACAAATCTGGTATAGGCCCAACAAAATTGTTCAATCCAAGGGCAATTGTTTTGAGTGACATGCTATTTAACAGAGCATAAGGAATCACTCCACCAAGACTGTTCTCTGTTAAGTCCAGATATTCAAGTGATGAACTATTAGATAGGAAAGGTGGGATTGGTCCGGTAAGTCTATTGTTTGCAAGAACAACAGCTCTAAGAGAAGGTCTGTATCCGAGTGAAAGCGGAATTTCGCCACTTAGACTATTTTGAGCAAGATGCAAAAGTGAAAGATTGCGGAGCATCCCCAGACTTTCTGGAATAACACCACTGAAGCCATTTTGCCGCAATATGAGCTTCTCAAGATTTAAACATTGGCTCAAGCTTGAAGGAATCTCACCTTGGAGAGCGTTTCCTCCAAGATCGATGATCTGAAGTCTAGAGCATGAAGATATGGTGCTTGGAATCACACCGCTAAGATCATTCGAGCTGAGGTTGAGGTACTGCAGCCTATTTAGTTGTCCAAGCTCAGTTGGGATTTGACCATTGAGCTGGTTATTTGCCATGTGCAGCCTTGCAAGGAATGTAAGATTAGCGATGCAGGAAGGTACTTGGCCATTGAGCTCGAAGGACTCGAGGTTCAGTGCAACAACACGAGACGCATGTCTCTTGCTGCAACTGACACCAGCCCAGCTGCAGTGTTGGAGGGAATCATTCTTCCATGAGGCTAGTAGCCCGGGAGGGCCGGAGACATGGTTCTTCAGACACAGGAGGGTCTGAAGGTCCGTGTTAGGTTCATTATGGAGTGGCGTGCTATCGAGTGAAGATGCAGAGAGAAGGAAGCAACTGAAGCAGACAATGGACAAGATAATTCCCAGAAGCACTGAGGAATCAGAACTTACTACAGGAGACATGTATATGTGTGTTGCACAGACTTATGCTGAATTGCGGATGTAATGTCGGTATGGTGCATTGCTAAGAGTCTGCAAGAAATATATAGCCAGAGCCAGCATCAAATGGTTGTTGGAATAGATCGAGAAGGAGCAATGACTGATTAGTGGACTGGCCGCTGGCGTGAGTCGTCGCGAGGAGACTTCGGAAGGCGTACTGCAGCTTCGTTCGGGTGCTTTCATGGGAAGAAAATTCAGTGGAGAAGACCTTCAGTCCCTCTCCCATGCATCCCGACCAAGCTACTAAAGAGCGTATAGCGGATTGGCGTCGAGGTGGCTCAGGCAGCTCTATAGACCCACCTCTAAAAAAGAGCCTCCCGTCTTTGAAAATCATTTTTTTATAGTGAAACAGGTTCTTTATTAGGAGCAACGCGTGGCCTGACTGCCGTGGTCCGCTGACCGAATGGCCCGTGCAAGGTACAGCCAAGCCTACCGGGCTCACGCTGTCCATTTTAGCTCGGGGTAAATCTTATGTGACTTGTCCTCGTTGGTTGCTTCTCTCTACACTATTCTTGTGCTTGTGTAGTTGTAGTTGTAGACGGCTATTTAAGTAGTGTAATTCGTTTAGTTGCTTCACGTGAGTAGCTCAACTAGTGCTTATTTGTAGGTGCTGGAGCATTGCTATTCGTGAACGCGTCTAGTAGTATGCTAAGCTTTTTATATTCTCCTTAAAAAAAAAAGAGTATGCTAAGCTTGCTCTCTCGGTTCTAACTTTTGCCCTCTTTCCGAACCGCGAATTCCCAAAAATGTCACCGAACACTGTCCATTTCTCGTTCCAGTTGCTGTGTGTCCTCTTCATTTTTTTTACTGGTTCTTGTGAGCGGAGGCCGATCCGGTGGCCCACATGCATCATGCTCAACTTGTAAGTACAAATCAAGTGCTTCCCTGACCCTGTTTCATTTTAGGCTTTGTTTGAATAGACTGGGATTACGTTTATTCCATGGGATTACTGTGGGAATGGGATTAGTTCAATTTTACGTCCAATCTATGGAGATTGGGACTACCCCTTCTTAATGAAATACGTGCCATGCACGTTCTCGAAAAAAGAGATCGGGACTACCTGCTCATTCTCTCCCAATTCCATCCAACCAAACTCTACAGGTCTTATTTGGATCCTTGAAATCGAAACTCATTCTCTGGATTAGATTCTATTTCACATAAGTATTAAAAAAATTCAGGTAAGTAATTGGATTGGCTAAAAAGTGATTCAGATCTTTTTTTTATTTGTTGGCAAAACATGGAATTTGTTTCCAACAATCGAATGGAATAACTGTTACATTAGCCTTACCTCAATCACAGTTAGTCGACCAATGATAATATGATGTCACAGACCGCGGTCCATTTTCAGTTTGGGTTGTTTCTCGTCCTCTTCGTTTTAACTGGTTCTTGTTGTGAGAAGAAGCCATACAGTTGGCCAAGCAACACTAGTACTCCCCTCACCTGTTTCATCTTATAAGCTCCGCTTGGATACACAGGGATTACTAGTACAGTACCACTGATCCATGCTATTGGTGTGAGATCAGTTCACTTTTACCGCCAATCTACCGAGTTGGGGCTAGCTATTAATGGGTTTCCATCCAAAACCAAATTCCAAAAGAAATATCGATATATTTCCATTACCTCAATCACATCAACGTGACAACGTTACGTCTCGGTAATTTTCCATCTAGTATAGCGAAGTTACTATATGTGTTGTGTACTGGAACTACTGTTCCTTTTTTTTTACATGTTCCTCTAAACCTTTATTATTTATATTTATATTTATATTCAACATGGCCTAACTTTTAGGCCACCATTTGCAGATGATCCGGACCACCCCCTATGTCAACCTCTGGGCCCTGTCAACCCTCCTCCTTATTGCTGTTCATAATGGTAAGCATTTGAGAGGGAAGATCAAAGACGTGACAAGAATCTCCAATTCCTTCAGTCCCTACACGCGATTAGCGGCCTCGACGTTCTTTTATAGGAAAAAAAAAATCCAAAATAGAAACTACACCTCACACACGCAAAACACGGGTACAGAAAATCTAGGAGACTACTATAGTCTTTCCGTATAATTCTCTACAAGCCTTGTTTCAGAAATATATATATATTGAAAAAGTACAATACTAATAATTTTAATTCCTTATTATCTCCAGAAGGCTGTATGTACAACGAAGCGGTCCATTTTTGCAATATTCAAAAAGCAATAAAATCTAGCTCTGTCCTTACATCCCAACAAATCTTCTTTGTTCTGCTCTGTGCATGTGACCACATCTGTGTGCAGTGTGAGCGAGTGTGCCTGTGCGCATCAAACAAAGATCAATCTACGATTAGCGATGAATATTGAGTGTTGCAACACAGACACGGTTACAAACTACGGAGAGAACAATCTCCATAAAACTGAAGAATAAGTTAGCGATTGGTACAACTCTCACCTTGGCTGCTGAGGGGCGCACTATTCGGATGCCAGCCATCATGCGACGACTTCGCATCCAGCATGCGCACAACGGCACAAGAGATCTTCCTCATCATTCACTGGAAAGCGGGTCCCTCGATCCCTCAGTACCGCATACATAACGATGAAAGACTTTCATGGCATCTTTTTTTTAGCAGTCAGTGGAGAAATTCCCCACCTATTTTTTTATTATTGATAAAAGAGGGTTACATGGTGCACAAGGAGTGCAAAAGGGGGAGCTTACAAAGTTCAAGTAAAAACACCAAGACAGCTAGGCTAGACTCTCCTACAAATCCAGAAGGGGCCTTCTATGCTCGGCTTGGCTTTGGTACAAACCAATCCAACAGTTCTTTCATGTGGCATCTTTGCTGGAGTATCAGAGGGCATGCACGACGATAAATCAACTGGCACCTTCACTCCACGTAAATTGGTAATCTTACTCTGCCAGCTAAATATGTTCACTCAAATTGTTTACCTACTTGTTTGAGTGAGGACAGGATAGAGAACCTCATCACCACCCATATATCACCATTGAGGACTAAAACCGGTGGTGATGGGTTCCAATCCGGCGGTGATGATGTTTCTCTAGTAGTGCTTGTAACAGCTAGTTCCTTTGTGCGGGTTATAATAGCCTCCTCGACCGGCCATGGCCCCTCTCTTGGACATTTGGATTGATTGCTACACACTTTGGTGCTTGAGAAACACACACTCCACTCACTTGACTCACTTAAGTTTGTATTTGTGTGAGATTGAGTGATCTAGTGCATTGCAATAGAGTGTTTACATCTTGTGGCACTAGTAGATCATCTTCGCTGAGGTGCTCTTGTTACTCTTGGTAGTTGTCACCACCTAGCTTGGTGCTATTGGATATTCGTTGAATGCCGCTTGGTGATTGTGCGGACACTTCGGATCATATGAGGGGCTTTATATATGCTCATCCTCATGGGAGTTCATTGAAGAGTAAGGATGGCAGCGGATCATGTTTCGGGGCGGATATCCACGAGTTTCGGGTCCGCGGGTTTCGGATTCGGGGCCTGATCTTTGCCCACGGTTTTTCGGGTTCGAATACCCGAAATGCTGCGGGTTTGGTGCGGATCTTTAATTCCACCCGGGGATCTCCATTGGGCCCCGAAAGATTTGAGCCCACTAGCAGCCTGTGGGGGGTCCAACCCCGGGTACCCACGGCGAAAGACATGGGCCGCATCACCAGGGGCGGTCCAGCCCACAAGATGAAGACTTGCGGCGCATGGCATTGCTCGGCGCACGGCGCAAGGCATCCTGGCGATATCCTGAAGATAGCATAGGATCTGTTAGGATATGCCGAATGCTTGATTCCTTATAAAGATTGTATCTTACCCCATTAGACTTAGACCTGATCGGCATGTAACCCTACCACCCAGGATATATAAGGCGGGTAGGGGACCCCCTCAAAATACATTCAATCTCATACGATAGCCAATACAAACCGACAGAACACAGGACAAGGATATTACGTCGAGATAACGGCATGAACCTATCTAATCTTGTGTCTCTGTCACCATCTTGCTCCAGTTAACGCGCACCTCTCCGATCAATCTACCAACTAGCAAACCTAGGTATATAACCTAGAATCCCAATCCCTTAGCCTCCTCACCCACTCCCACCCAGGCGCCGCGCGCACTCACCCGCATGACCACGTATCCTCGCGCTCTCACGGTCCCCTCACACGACGGCCCTCTCTCTCTCGGCGATCGAGCGCAGGCGAGCAGGGTCAGGTGGCCGGCCACCGGCACCATCAGCCCAGCAGGTCCTAGCCGCAGCCATCAAAGCGCCGGCATCCATCATCTCCTTCGGCTTCCCAATCCCCTCCCCAACGGCATGCCTTCCGCTTCCTAATCCCCTCGCATCTACGGAACCTGCCAACACTGGCGCCATGGGGGCCTTCACGAAGAAGGGGCACCAGTTCCTCGCCAAGCTCGGCCTCACGCAGCGCAACCCGGGCGTGTTTGGATGCGGTGCGTGGGGCGGCTCAGGCCCCGCCGTCACCTCCACTTGCACGGAATCACTTCAATCCGGCTTCTGTGTGCAAAATGCTTTTGGGTTTTGGATAATCCGTCGGGTTTCGGGGATCCTTGGGTTTCGATTTCGGGGATGAATTTTCACCTGAATTAGTGTTCGGAGCGGGTTTGGGTTTTTAGTTTGGGTTTTGGTTTTGGGTGCCGAGAGACTCCACCCGATCTGAATCCGTCCCGTTACCATCCTTATTGAAGAGAAACTCTAGTAGAATCATAGAGGCTTGGGGACTGCCTTAGTGACCCACATTGAGGGTTGAGCTTGTGTGATCACGAGGCTCATAAAGTGGTGGTCTAATAGGACTCACCTCAACGGGAGTAGATTGTCGACAAGCAACCGATCTTTCGGGTAAATCTTGTGTGACTTGCCCTTGTTGGTTGCTTCTCTCTACACTTGCATTTATATTCGTATTCTTGTGCTTGTGTAGTTGTAGTTGTAGTTGTAGTTGTAGATGGCTAGCTGAGTAGTGCAATTCGTTTAGTTGCTTCACGTGAGTAGCTCGACTAGTAGGTTAGTAAGCCTCAGTTACTTTGA